AAATCTAGGGTATTTATTATCATTTTAGATGGTTATAGACCTTTATAGAATTCTGAAACGCTACTAAACATAGTAGCAGTATAGGTAATCATCCAATCAGAAACTCGATGTGTGACCTTTGACTCTCTAGATATTTCTGGCAAAACTTCTATTGAATGCTGATTGGATAAGATGTTTCTCAGAATTTTCAGATCCATTTTTTGGTGTTTTTCGAGGAATTTCCTGGATCTCCTCAACATTTTCTCTACGTATTTCTTGAATATTTACAAGTTTATTGCATAAAAAATTTGAATTTCGTTTCAATACTGCATAATTTATGCTAAGCATTGATTACTGAAATCAAACATTTCAGTCCTGATGAGACCTCTGAGTGACACTAAAGTGACCTTGAGAGTGTCCACCTAATTACTAGTGTGGTGTGTGCTACATATGTCGACATAAGTAGTATATGACGTTAGTCAGCAACAGAATGTCTGACAGCAGAGAAGCAAGAGAATCGAACAATAAAGAATGGAAACAGAATTCAATTTGTATGAAGATTCAAGAACAATGAAGTCTGAGACATTTTGAGACAATTGATGGTCATTTTGAAAATTGAGCATTTACTATATGGTTGTTAGATTTTATTAACATGTTCTGTAATTTCCTATTCTCATAATGGGTTTTGTGGAGAGTTTTAGAAATTTCACAGGTTGAAATCATGAGTCAGTTGAAGCTAGACCACCATTGAAAAGCTGGAAGCACTGGACGGCCGTTTCATCCTAGTATGGGATTCCTCAGCAGTGCGCATCCACGATCCCGCATCTCGCTGGGCTCGAGCCCAGGACCTACTGGCTTCGCGCGCGAGCACTTAACCACTAGACCACTGAGGCGGCATCCAACGGTGTTAATGTCTAACTTCAACCAATCCACGAAGTTGCGCCACCGTACACCATTGTCTTCAGTGAGTTGTTATCTCACAACAGACCTGTTGAACTCAACTGGTAACGGCTTCTCACTAGAACTCCAGGAGTTTTTCTTGAAGTTAGTCACTAATGAGCAGTTGATTATTATCAGAATGGGTTTCGTGGAGAGTTTTAGAAATTTCACAGGTTGAAATCATGAGTCAGTTGAAGCTAGACCATTGGTTGCCGAGTCAGTGGTCTAGTGGTTAAGTGCTCGCGCGCGAAGCCAGTAGGTCCTGGGTTCGAGCCCCGCGTGGTGCGGGATCGTGGATGCGCACTGCTGAGGAATCCCATACTAGGATGAAACGGCCGTCCAGTGCTTCCAGGTTTTCAATGGTGGTCTAGCTTCAACTGACTCATGATTTCAACCTGTGAAATTTCCTATTCATTGCATTCGATTATCCCCACTGGTGTACTGTTCACTACACCAGAACTAAATGAGGGTTATTAACCAGTGTGAAGGATTATAATTATGATTTATAGTTAATGGTTTAGGTTAGGAATTAGGTTTTGGGTTTTTGATCCCAAACTGACATCAGCTATAATGCCGAGACGCTGTTTAGCCAAATGGATGAGTGAATTTCGTGCCGAAATCCAAGACCTCTTATTCTAATTCTTATTTGTTTTGTTTATAAATTATATTCTCACCGTTTTCTCTCTAGTTGAATCACGTGAAATTTATTGTGATTACGTAACGGTTATGAGGGTTTTTCCATTAGGAATACATTCTAGTCAAGTTAATCACGTATTCATGATCTGAGTTGTGTTGAATTCCTGTAGAATAATAGACATTTAGCCATTTATTTATTTTATTTATTTTAACACATAGATATTGGTACGAGAAGGCAACAACTACATATGCGCCACACAAATCTCATTTGATATGTGTGAGGGTTGTGATACTGCCCGGGTGCCCAAACTGAAGTAGGTGGTTTTCTTAGGGGGCTACACCCGTAGCCTTCGATATGAAGGTCTGATTCACAAGGCAGTGGATCAACGTAAGGAGATGCAGTCCCATGGTAGCCGGTGACCGATAATTGGTTCATACGCCATTTGTTCCTTTAAAGCCTGGAGCCCATGTACATCATTGGTTTAAAATTATGGTTTCGCAACTCCTCTAGTTGGAACCTCCGTACCAATAACCCGGTTAAAGCGCCGGACATTCGCTCTTCGTCCACTCATTTTCGTAAACAACACCCCCGCCACGAGAAGGCAGTGAATAGGACTTCCCTGGCAGAAGCTATGTACGCATGGCCATGTGAGAGCATTTAAGGAGGGAGAGCGGACTCTCCCTACTCTCGGCCATACCAGGGCACTGGGGGGGGGGGCCAACACTAACACGGAATTTAGTGTAGATATTTGTCTCATTTGTGTAAAGATGAAGAAAATTCGACTGTTATAACACATTTATAGAGTGATTCTTTTTATTCTTTTTTTGTAAATTAAACTATTGCATTTTCAAGTGTACTCAGGTCACATCTCTTCATTCAACTAAACTAGTAGTAAAGGTGAAATAATTAGAGCATAATAAACGTTTAGAGATAATTCATTATTCTATAGATAAGTAATGATATGTATGAACTTCAATTTTTATGTTTGTTTATGTGGAATTTATCATTGATAATAAGTCAAGCTGTCTGTTTCCTCATTAGAATCACCTTTTCAGGGTTTGTGTTTGTATTTCAATAAGTTGGTTAAGGTTTGAAATAAGAATAATTTATAATCATTTGGTGTTGTTTACTTGTATCTTGTGTATTGTTATTGGTTTAGGACTGCAACTGATCAGTCTGTTGTTGATATTTTGAAGCGAATAGTACTGGGTTCGAGTCCTACGGTGAATATCAACTCTGTTATATTCAGCCAACAAGTCGGAAATTGGACGAAACGCTTATCCTAGATTCCATTGCTAGCCACTATCCATCTTTGCTTAAAGAGAATGAATTACGTTCACTCTTTAATTGTTATCATAAATGTATATCATTGGAGTTTCGTAACTGGAGTAAATAGCTGTCCAGTAGTCAGTATTGTTCAGTGGTTGCCTAACTAGAAGCCTAATAATGATCAATTTTCATAGATCCATAATTTTCAATAAATTAGTGTAATCAGTATAATGATGCAGATAGAGGTTTAGTTGTCGCTCTAATGGTAACATCTCAGGTGAAAAACTGGGTGATACGACAATGACAGTCAGTCAGTCAGTCAGTCAGTAACAACGTAGGACTTCGTACGTACGTACATCAGTTCGAGTTGCCACACCACATTAGCACAGAGATGCAGTGGTCGATTCAAATCCCGTAGTGGTAGAGGTAGCAAGAGTATAAGCAGTAATCAGGAAAATTAGTGTTTGGAGATGTTATTTAAAGAGTATAATCCTGTGAAATAAATTTGGGAAGAGAAAAAAAAGAGATAAGGAGGGATCAGGAGATCAAAATTTGGGAGAACACAAAGAGTGTATGCACCTGCGCCATTGCAAACGATTTTGAGCCATGTCATTCAGGGTCTCTAACCATCGGTTTCTATCATCTCGTGGTCCACAACCAGGTAGTCTACACCTACCAACATGACTCAGTCCACTTGTCAGTGACTTCATGGACTTGTGCCATGTTTTGGTCTGGCCGCCCCTAGCTTTCTTCCAACCTACTGCTATACCACTGAATATCGCACGTCGAAGCAGTCGGTCGTTGGGCATACGTAACACGTGTCTCAGCCATATCAACTTATGAAACTATGGACTGAACTGGTGGTCTGTGGTTTACCTTCCTTCTATTGACAGATATAAGTGGTATGTAACACCAATCGAAAGTTGAATGAATGTCAGTAGAAGATTAAGAAGATTCAATCAAAAAGAACAGAAAGGGAAGCAGAGAGAAATTATAATAACAGTAGAATTGTATAAGTCCTGATGAATGTAAAGGACAATTGAAAGAATATATGCAAATAATGTATTTAATGTAGGGTTTTCATATTTTATGAAAGTGCTCTGAGTCTTCTTATCTAAGTGTTCGTTTACCACAGGGCAGCTAAGTCTCATTGATTGTATGAATATCTTATAAACGTAATTATTTAATTTGATTTGAAACATGTCAGCGACTTCAGTAGTATGTAATAAACGTATACGTGTATTATGCAACCAACTGGATGATGATTTATGATAAATTGTTCAAAAATCTTGATTTCATTCAGCTTGATTAAGGTATTGTGATAGTATTGAGAGATCCGAAATTGTTTTGTTCTAATATAAGACTCATTAATAAGTTGAGCATCAGCTAATCTTCTTAAGGCTAAAATTAATCTTCTATAATCGAATGCTTAGCGAACTAACGACATAATCATGGAATGTCATCATGTGTTCACTAGTGACTGATTACTGGAGGTAATTGCAAGAGTTCTAGTAAGAAGCGGTAACCAGAGGAAGATAGTTACTCAATATAGCAAGTTAACTGAAGGTAAGAATATAAACTATTGTGCACCTATATACTTAAACAAATCGATTCTCTCAGTTCATTTGGAAACTAGTCAATAAATATTGCTTATTTAGTAGTTGAATTCATGAGTTGATTCAAGGTAGACCATTATTGAAGACCTGGAAGCACTGGACGTCCGTTTCGTCTTAAAATAGTACTTCTCAATAGTACACAGCCACGATCTCGCACGTGGGATTACTCGAACCCAGGGCCTTTGATCTTACGCGCGAATGCTTAACATCGTAGACTACTGAGCCGGTATTTAAGGGTGTTCATATCTCACTTCAGTCGATACATTTTCTTGTGAAACCGTTCATTCAATATCTGAGGTAGATATCTGTCTCTACTTGACATGGATTGGACTCTATTGATCAAGGCTTTTCATTAGAACTACAGGAAATTCATCTTGAAGCTAGTTACTAGTGAGCACATAGGAATTGAAACGATTTATGAACGATCTAGAAGGGATTATTACATCGTAATAAAGAACAAACTGGTTAAAGGTTTTATTGCATTAATTGTACAGTATTTTGTTGTTTTTTTTTTGGTATATTTTAGTTATATCGTGTCTATAAATATTGGATGATAAAATATGCCTTCACCTACAACACAATCAGGTAAGTCTTACTTACTTGTTGGATAGTAACAGATCGACGTGTTATATATTTATGCAGTTTGATATATATGTATTATGGACAACTTCATATGTAGCATACATGTTTATCAGTTTTCATTACCATATTAGATATCAATAGAGTGATAATGAACGAAAGTTAGATGACTCGAAGTAATCATAGTATCAATGTAACGAATGACCACTAAAATGGGAAACAATACACCATATGTACATCTTCCTTAAATTATCACTTACAAACCCTATTGTTCTTTCATTACTGTTGCTTTTTCGAATACCTTCGTTTCTTTCCTTCTCTTCTCTTCTCTTCTCTTCATTCTCTTCTACTGACAGTAAGAATCGTATTTCTTCAGGTATACTACTTATATATATATTCGTATATGTAGCACAAACACAACTATTTATTCAAGTAAACGCTTCTGCGTTACAATCATCAATTATCAGACTACACTTCGTGACTAATGTATAGCAGACCTTACATATATCATCAGTGTTATTCATCCAATAGTTACTGACTTCACGGAATACTGCAATGTAAGTGATGGTTGAGTATACTTTCCAACCACTTCATTAAACGAATATCCACTACATCAACTGACTGAAATTTATGTAATATATGTATACATATGGCTGAAGGCAGTCATTCAAAAGTTTCTTGCTAATTAATATACTGTACCATGATGTATCAACAATTTTATAGTAAACGAATTCTATCTTCACACAACAGAAATAAAATGGTTACAGTCAGTATAAGTGACATATTGCTATTCAAATTACAATCATTTAATCCTAAAATAAATATCTTTCTTTAAAATGAATAGCAGGCATTCAAATATCTTTGAGTCGTCATTATGTTATATTTAGTCGTCGTTGATTGCTGTGCCAAGAAAAAAAACGCTGATCACTTATACTCGAAACGAGGAACCTCTGCAACTCCCACGATGAGAAAGTAAGAACACAAAGACTGGTATAAGTGAAGATTTATTAGCCCCAAACACTATGGAGACGACGAATCAAATATAGTCTAAAATATACTCATTTATATATTGATTGTACACCCATTTTGATTAATAATTAGGATTAAATCACATACTCAGTTACAACAAATCACTTACTGAGCATAGTTGATGTCAACTGAATACAAGAATATCGTATATTATACAGAAGAATATATCATACTGGGAAAACAAATCAAATACTACACTGAATGATCCTCACGTTGAATCAAAACGGATGTTGAATGTTGAATAAAACTCATAATTCAATCGAAAATTGACTTTCCCTTCCATCACATCAGATTATTGTAGACCGAATGTCCTGGGTTCGAGTCCTACATGTAGGATTGTGGATGAGTTCTATTCACGAGTTCCATACTAGGACGAAACGAACATTGAGCACTTCTAGGTTTTCAATCGTAGTCTAACATTTACTAATCATTAAAGTATTTTAGAGTCAGCTTCTTTCAGAATTAATACATTTTACTGACTATATAAGAAACTGATCATTTATTCTTTTAAAAAACAATCTTTTTTTTATACAATAAACAAAACAAATCATAAAGTCAATGTCGATAATGGTTCGAAATGTGATGATGTCTTGAATAATGGCAATGATATTGAATTCTTGAAAAAACATTTACCACATGTGGATATCGAAACTGGTTTGAAACATCGCAGTGAGTAATTACTACTACTATTACTAATACTACTATTACTACTACTACCACTACCACTACTACTACTACCACTACCACTACCACTACTACTACTACTACAACTACCACTACTACTACTACTACTACTACTACTACTACTACTACTACTACTACTACTACTACTACTACTACTACTACTACTACTACCAATACTACTAGTAATACTACTAATATTAAGAATTAATGCTTACGAACCCTATTTTGTCCTCAATTTGCGTGTATGCATGCATTCATATGTAAATTATTGCATGTAGATGTATATATTGATTATGTAATAATGCATACGCTTTTCCTCTGAATTTGATTCATTATAATTCTAGATCGATAGACAAAAAATGTGATTTATTTTCCCTTAACTTATTGACTAATTGAATTCGATAATCAATAAATTAGCCAATTAATTAATTTGTATTATATATTGATTTTAATAATTGATTGGGTACTGAATAATGATCAGTGATATGTTTGTTTAGGTTTTGTTTTAAGCGTTAATCGGATCTTATTGATTAAATTTAAATGTAATTTTATTGGTTGAGATCATGAGTCAAATGAAGCTAGACTATCATGGAAAACGTGGAATCACTATACGGCGATTTCGTCTTATTGTGGAACTCCTCAGCAGTGCGCATCCACGAACCGGCCTCGTCAGATTCGAACCCGGGACCTATCATTCTCGCGACGACTGAGCCGATATTCAGTGGTGTTAATATCTAAGTTCAAGCAATCAACAAAATTGCGCCACCATTCAGTATTGTCTTCAGTCAGTTACTATCTCACAACAGACGTGGTTGAACTCCACTGATCCCTGCTTCCCATTAGAACTCCAGGATATATCTGTTGGTGGTCGAGCTTCAATTGAATCATGATCTCAACCATTAAAATCACTATAATATCGACAATCCCCTTCTAATAACAAATTTAAATATGACCACATAATCCGATATTCCGTGGTCAGTGATAGTCAACAGGGAATTTGGAACCTATTATTTGACATTCGTCAGCAAGGTGTACTTTTAATCTTGAGGAATTGGTTTTCCTTGGTTGCACAGCTTGCTGAAGAATGTCAAATAGTATCAAACTTAGGTTCAGAGTTTCATCTTTAACGATCCGAGCATACTAACTTACATTGACTTTGTTTAGGTAATCGCTGAAATCTAGGAACCTGTAAACAGTGTAGAACTTTTCAACAATGTTCATTCTTGATGGATACAGTGAGATCTTAACTATCACACAAGTGAACTGGAATAACATGATTCATATTTCTTATTTTAGCCAATTCATGATAATAATTGAGTATCATTTTACCGTATTTTTCTGAATTTCGATATGACTTGAACTCCACTAGTCATGATTTCTACTTAAATTCTAGATCCATTCTGAAAGGAAAATTACTTATAATCCAAACATGAGTAAATATTCACAATTGATTGATCATTGGGTGGTGATCTATGTCATGTGTGTCAAATCCTTCTTAGTGCAGGTTGAATCCTATCGACCAATTTACAATGTGGCTACTAGTCTAGGTGACTCGGCATTGCGTGCACTTTGTTGAAATATGATTGTGAATGATGGATAGCTCAGTGGTAACGTCTCTAACGTTCAAGCTGGGTGACATAGGATTGAATCCGTCAGGGAGCACCAGTTTCCTCAAGAATAATACAGATAAACCTTGCTGACGAGAGCCAAGTAGCACAAAACCTGAGTCCAGGGATTCCTACTGACTACTTCCAACCACCATCTTGAGTAAATATTAGACATCAAAATATGATGGTGACTAAAAATAGAGGAATATCATAAACTGGTTCTCAAATCATTGAACTAAAAGTAATTTGCTCATTATAAAATCGAAGTCTTAAGTAACTGATAAATTAACCTTGATCAATTCATTTATCATTTTAAAAAAAGAAGATTTTAATAGTTCATTCTGTCAAATTGTTTTATATACAGATCTTATTTGACTGATCATCATGATGATCATGATTATGATCATTACCATCTATTTAACTTACCCCCTCCCCTTTTGACAATATTTAATCCATAGAAACTAATGTATTTCAAATACAGAGCAATCAAACTGTTTGTAAAGAAGTGATTTATCTTTTTTTGATTTAACTGTGACCTCTTCATTAATACTTCTGTTTTATGATCGAATTTATTTAGTTTACGTGAGGTTGATTAAAGGAAAAGAAATTGGTGTTCTATTTAAAATTAAAGATGAAGTTTCAATGTTCATATTTTATGTGCAAACATTGTTTAATTCAAGATCTTAAATTATTAATGAAATGTAGGTTATTTTGCATAAGCCCCTAAATGTCCCGGTATAGGAGAGATTTAAGAAAGTTAACTCTTCCTCTCCAAATGCTCTCACATGGCCACGCGTATACAACCACCACCAGGAAAGTCTTACTCACTGTCTTTTCTCTATGGGGGTGTTGTTTACAAAGTTGAGAAGACGAAAAGCGAATGTCTGGAGCTTTAACCGGGTTGACGGATATTGAGGATCCACCTATGGGTGTTGGAAAACTTCGATTCTGAAGCAATGGTACACATGGGCTCCAGGATCCTAAGGAAACAAATGGCGTATAAACCAATCGATGGTCACTGGCTAACATGAGGCTGAATTTTATGACGTTACTCCACCGCCTTGTGGATCAGACCTTTAGGTTGAAGGCTACGAGTGTGGTTCCCTAAGAGAACCGCCTATTTCTGTCTGAGCACCCGAGTGATATTCTAGCCCTCAGACAAATAAAATGAAATTCGTGTGGCGCATATGTATGTGGTGCCTCTTTCTACCAATATTTATGTTTTCAAATAAATAAATAAGCCCTAAACATTCTGGTATTGATTCCTAAACGAATTATAGTAGCACATTATAGAGTTTCATGATGAAATTAAACAGCTTTTCAATACTCTATGGCTTCTTAATTGTTTTCTAATCAAATTCATTCAATGTCTGATGTTTAAAGGTAGGCTGCAGGAAGTCTTGAATTTTTATGGTAGCTGGCCTTCGTCAGTATAACGTATGCGATTAGGAGTCATTTAAGCAAGTCATCACATTGCAACTTGATAGATAGAATGCAAAACATTACTAAAAGACTATATGAACGTCACATTGGTCATTAGTCAGTGATAAATCAATTGTTAACGTTTCATCTATACACGAGGCCAATCGAGACTAGAGAATTTCAGCGATAATGTCTCAGATTATGAAGCTGGGTGATTAAGGTTCAGATCCCATGACAAGATTCTTTGAAGTATTGAAATATCAGTTACAGAGCCTAATCACCTGTTTACATTTAACCACCTAGTTCTGGTGTGCTCTAATATATCCTAGTATTATTCTCTGGAGAATTTCATATTGAAACAAAGCATCTTTGATGGAGTTTTGTTCTCTGAGCTGGATGGTTTGGTCGTGGAGCCTTCATCGTCATTCTGAACGATATCATCAGCACTACCTGAAGTTTGTTAGCTCAGAGAACAAAAACTCAAACAAAATCATTCACGTAAGGTCCAAATTTTCACCATCATCACAAAGCATCTCTATATAAATGGTAGACAGGATATATACATGATTAATTGTGTCAATCATTAATGTATTGTCCATAAATATTCTTTACTAATGGGGTGTTAGCGTGAATGATCCAAAAAAACACAACAAATAACTCAGTAACAAAATTTGTTAATTATAGAAAATAGTTTACTAGGGGAAATGAACTTTCTGCCTGTTTTACTTGATCTCTACTCATGTATAACTATGGTTAAATGACCTGAATGAAATAACACTTAGTTGTATATAGTGATAAGAATGGGTATGAATTTATGCAAGACTAAATTCGCCGGTTTGACATAAATATTCTAAATGAATTACTTCCTTATTTACTTACCTACGCCTGTTATCCCCTATCGAGGAACATAGGCCACCCATCAATATTCACCATTCAACTCTGTTGTCGACGATTCCTTCCAGCTCTTTCCAGTTGCTATTCAACATTTCAATGTCTGCTTCCAATTCCCGATGTAGTGTGTTATTTGGTATTCCTTTTTTCCGTTTTCCTTCAGGATTCCAAGCTAAAGCTTGTTTCGTGATGCAGTTTGATGCTTTCTGCAACGTATGTCCTAATCACATCTATTGTCTTATCCTAACTTCCTTCTCAGTAGGAAGCTGGTTTTTTCTTCACTATAGTAGGTTGTTGGTGATGTTTTCCGGCCAACGGACATTGAGCATCTTGTGTAGACAATTGTTTTTTTGATGATGATTGTAGTAGTTCTCCACGTTTCAGTTCCGTACAGTAGGACTGTTTCACATAATTTAGAGATCTTGGAATTGAATTTCAACTCTGTTATGATATTCATTTAGAGTAAATGTTTACGGTTCTTTTCAAACTTTTAATCTGATAGCATAATGAACAGACAGAATATCTTTATATTCTATATGACTCTTCCAATTCACAATTTCTTTGTATTTCTTTTTCTGTTTTCTTTGACTCGATCTTCTTAGTCTTCTACTGCCAGGCATTCCACTTCTGAATGGTGTTACCTGCTATACACCACACATAAATTTAATTCAAGTTTTCTTTTTAGAACCATCTTACTTACCAGCAAATCATGTTTCTATCCATCCATTTAAATTGTATACTGTCGTGTTGAGTCACTTGGACTGCGACAATTAATTATACTTCAATACAGAATTCCTGTATTCTTCCACAAATTGTTAAAAACCATACATCCAGTACTTCATTTGCAAATCCTTCATCAATTGTCTCGATCTTCATCATTCTTTCATTACTATTATAATAACCCTCTGTTCTTATTCTTTTCAATTCGAACTTTTCAATCTTCTGCTGTCAAACGTTTCACTTTTGACTGATGCTATATACTACTTATGTCTATCAACATAAGTACTTCCTTACTTCACCTGTTACTCCCAATGGAGTATAGGCTACCGATCAGCATTCTCCAACCGACTCTGTTCTGGATCTTCCTTTCTAGTTCTTTCCAATTGTTGTTCATTCTTTATATGTCTGTCTCTATATCTCGGAGTAATGTGTCAACATAAGTAGTATACACCTAAAATTGCAACTTCATTAACAGAATTTGGATCATCATTAAGAGCTAGACAATCAATAATCAGTCAATATAAATCAAAATACCAGTTTTTCCTTATAGCCTTTGATTTCCCATAAAGGGTAGGATGTGAAAAATCGATTGGACTGTAATTTATAAAAATCCATTTTGACATTTTATACTTGATTATAATCGATCAATAATCAGTATCGATTTATCCAAGACTGGTATTACTTTTTTAAAGAAAAAAAAACACTCGAGGAGGAATATTATCGATTGAGGAAGTTAATTATCGATTTTTTTCTTCTGTCTATTTTATTTTATTTATTTATTTAAACACATAAATATTGGTACAGGGAGGTACGAAATAGATATGCGCTATATAAATCATTCAATTTATGTGAGGGTTGGGATACTACCCGTGCACCCAAACTGAAGAACGTGGTTTTCTTAGGGATACACTCCACAACCATATGACTTAAAGGTTTAATCCACAAGTCAATGAAACAAAATCAGGAGATACACTACCATGATAGTTGGTCAACGAGAATAGGTTCTTACGCCATTTGTTCTCGCTGGTCATTCGCTTTTCATACTCTCAATCCAGTAAACAACACCCTCAACACGGGAATGCAGTGAGTAGCATTTCCCTAGTAGTGGCTGTATACGCGTGGCCATGTGAGAGCATTTCCAAAGAGAGAGAGAGAGAGCGGACTCTCCTCACTCTCAACTGCATCAAGACATTTGATGGTGAAATGTGGCAACGGACCATTGCAGTGTGGAAGTGCTGGGTTGACTGAAAACTTGTCCTGTCATTAGGAGACTTTATATTTTGTGACACATCTCAGATTGATGTGAAAAACACTTCGAATGCAGACACACTCCGTCGATAAATCCTATATAGGATGAAAAGTGCGTAGTGGATTCCGCTGCTATCCATTATCCATGTCCTTTTATGATTCTTGTGATATTTATTCGGTATATCACTGGTTTAGTTTTAAATTGACAGTAATGTTTATGTAATATTTATTCAATATTATAACCGTTTGTATTGATTTATTGTGACATTTGCTCGGTGTAATATTTGGTTGTACACATTCAGTGTAAAATCCATTTATTTTCTTAATAATTGTAATATGTATCATGTTTTCTGACTAACCATTCATTCTTAGTAAAATTTGTACAGTAATGGGTATATTTGGTTCATACTTTGTTGGCGTGCTTTTGCATGGTGAATATAATTTGCATATGACAGAAGTTTTTGTCTACTTTCTTGGGTTGTACAATCTCATTTTCCCCCTGTTTAAGTTCAATTTTCAACTCTATAAATAACCTTAGTAATGATCCGTTTTTGCATTGATTATTTGAATCTTCTCATTGATATGTAGGACTTCGATTGATCAGTTTCTTATTGACATATATTCACGCTGTTCGGATTGCCTTGATATTGTCTTAAGTCACCAGCGTTTTAAGCAGAGATGATGGTAGATAGCAGTAGAATACAGTTTGACGCGCGTCTCGTCCTATTTCAGGACTCGTTAGCTAGATGTACCTGCATCTCAGAGTTAATGTTCACCATAGGACTCAAATCCAGTATCGTTTGCTACAAATGGCATCATATTTTACATCCAAGCGCACACGCCAGTGGCTATCTAGACTCAGCAACTAAGTGGAAAAAGCGATGGTGTTTAAAGCGAACGAAACCGAATTCGAGTCTCGAAGTGAACATCCACTCTGGGATGCAGGTACATCCAGCTGATGTATCCAGAATAGGAAGAGACGCTCTTTCTGGATTCCACTGCTAGTCACCAACCATCTTTAGTAATTATCAATTGAGTGGAAAACCTGGAAGCACTGGATGGTCGTTTCTTCCTATGAATATGCTCTCTAGTGACTGGTTTCAAGAGGTATTTCCTGGAGTTTTAGTGAGAAGCAGTGACCAGTGGAGTTCAACCTGGTCAGCTGTGAGATAGTAACTCATTGAAGACAATGATGGATGTATCGCTCAATATCACCGATTAGTTGAAGTTAAACATTGACACCATTGGATACCGGCTACGTGGTCTAGTGTCTAAGCATTCGCTCACGAGACCGTTAAGTCCTGTGTTCGAGTGATCCCACGTATGGAATCGTGGATGCTCACTGTTGAGGAGTTTCAAAATAGAAAGAAATGGCCATCCAGTGATACCAGGCTTTTCTATGGTAGTCTAACTTCAACTGCCTCATGATCTCAACTATTGAAATTACTATAATATCCACAAAACCCTTTTCTGATAAGATTTTCATTTGTTCCATAACAAGTACTGATCAACTGTTAATGAGAAATGATTTTTGCTTTGCATGTATTAAATGTTCAATATATTTCAGTATGCTTTTGTTGTATCCCTTGTATATTGTTCATTGTTATGATTTTTAGTTTCAGATCATTAATTTTAAGATTAGTGCATTTGAATCACAACGTCTTTTCTCGGTGTACAGTTCATGATACTGATAAACATTGATTGGTTTGAAAGGTTTCAAAACAGTTAACAATATCTTACTCATTTATACTATGTACATTGTTATTTTTCAATTAGTCAGTAGTTAATTAATAATCTGTTATGTGATTGGATTGAAAACTGAGGACTATTCGACAGTTAGTTGTTTTTAAGTATGATAGGAATCCTCATTGGTTTATAAGTGCAATCTCGAAAGTGAACAATGAAGTGCTTGTGGTTAACGTTTTACTTTTAGGTAGTTCTAAAGTATTTATCATAAATGTTTGTAGGGATACAGAAAATGCTTGGAAACACCTTATCTAATGAAAGATGAATGGATACCTACCAGAAGCATTTAAAAATTAAAGTCACATGTGATGTTTCTGATTGGTTATTAATGTATACAGCCACTTTGTTTAGTATGGTTTTTGGAACTTTTAGAAGCTCAGAGTCGTGTGTAACTATGAATATACTAACTTTGGAGTGAAGTGCTCATTTTTTATTTTGAGCCCATTCTTTTGTGTTCAATTCACCGTTTAGATTTAGCCGGGAGTTATTAGAAGCGCCTCAGAAATCAGATCGAACATTTATTTAACAGACTCGTCGCATACCATGAACGCTATCGGGTAAACATCTAATAGTATGAGTCCATAACTTTAAAAGATTCACGGTATTCATTCAATATCCTTAGTAACAACTATTTCTTTCCCAACATGTCTGAACTACGCCAGTCATGACTTTTCAGTAGAACTCAAAAAGACATTTTGAAGTTAATGAGTCATATACTAAGATAAAGTAGTTGTCCAACACACTACGGTTTCAATGAGCCTCAACTACGATCAATCAGTAGCGAATAAAAATTCGCGAATCTGTGTAAAAGTCCTTCATCTTAATTGATTGTGCAATTAAAATACATAATCATACAAATTATTTCAAGCAATGCTGATTAGCTCCATAATGGATTTTACAAAGTTAATCTAAGAAGGTGTAGTCTGTAGAGCGATATCAGTCAATATGGGTATATACTACAACCCTTAATGTTGATTTGGTCATTCTGGAGCCTATACACGGAGTAAATTGCTCAGATGTCTGAAAGTACAAGGAAATATCTATCTAGTGATCTTTGATCCGAAAGTTCTTGAACTATAGCTAACAGTGGGATCCAGCATATGTACTCAGTTCTCTTAAAAAACCGTCTGTAGAATAGATTCACAGTAAAGTGTTTATATTCACAATAAGACTCAAATTTAGTAGTTATTATTTTAAACAAAAGTTTATCATCCGGTAGGTGGCAATTTGTTTATTCTGGCTAACGTTTTTTGGCAAGGTTGTTTTCTATTAGATTGAGTTGCCGATCTCACACCAGACCCTCCTCTTTAACCTGGGTTTGGGACCAGCAATAACCCTAGAAGAGCTGCAGGCAGAGAATGGTGTTGAGCGGACGATGCTCCACCATGACGGGTAACAAACATAGATAGAGCTAGAAATTTGATGGAAGCCTCATAATTATTTTTCTCATACAAAGGGGTGAATACATTCCGATGTACACTCAATACAAGTAAATTCCTTGATATATATTCATCATGAGAACTATGCATCAATAAATCAAGATATAAATTAATTTTATTACAGCAGTTCAAAGAGATCCAATCACCGGTCTTGGAGCATTACCAAAAGAACATGTTGAACTTGGACGTACAAGAAATGCTTCAACTGGTAGACCGGGTAAGTAACATATAATAACTGTTTTCTTTTATATAAAATAACTCTTCTAAATACCATTTCCATTGTTTTGTGAAGGATCATAAAGTAGCTAATGAAGGTCGCTATCATTTGTTTTTATATTGTTGAATTGAATATAGACCAAAGTACATGTAGAATACTTGATAAAACATAAGAACGTATAGGTGTATGTGTAAGATAATGCTTTAGATCAAAGAAATTCCCCTTCGTCTATTATACAACAGAATATGTACTATCGAAAATCTACACTATCTAATTTATCCAAATTCCGGTTATCTTTTTATGTCAACTTTAATCTAGATGTTAGGAATCGAGGAATTGACATCTGAATAATCTTCATTCTTTTCATTGCATAATGCCTACTAATAACCACAATGTCTCTGACGTTATACAGCGAAAGGTCGTAAGCACTTCATAACTTGTTGAAATATCTAGATGGTAAGGACATTTAGTCCAGATATTCAAGCAGGCTGACAATTATCAATTCATTTCATAGAGTTTCTCCACTTAATATTCATCTTTAGAATTGTTCACTTCTAAATTAGTGATTAATCCTTATATAAATCATTTAAATTGAAGTTATGATGGATCGATGTTATAGCATGAAAGATACATAAATCTCAATGATTAAGATCATGAGTCAGTTGAAGCTAGACCACCATGGGAAACCTGGAAGCACTGGACGGCCGTTTTGTCCTATTGTGGGACTCCTCAGCAGTGCGCATTCACGACCTCGCCCCCTGCGAGATTCGAACCCAGGACCTACTGGTTTCGCGCGCGAGCACTTAACCACTAGACCACAATAGGACGAGACGGCTGTCCAGTGCTTCCAGGTTTTCCATGGTGGTCTAGCTTCAACTGACTCATAATCTTAACCATTGAAATTACTACAATCTCCACAAAAACCCATCTGATACATAAATCGTTCAAGGAGATCTTTATTTTAATAGTTGAATTCATAAGTCGATTGAATTTAGACCACCGTGGACAACTTGGAAACACTGGACGGACGTTTCATCCTAGTATGGGGCTTCTCAGCAGTGTGCGAACACGATCCCGCTTAGTGAGATTCAAACCCAGGACCTATCAGTCTCGTGCGCGAATACTTAACCATCAGACCACTGAGCCGGTATCCAACCATGCTAATATTGGACTTCAACTACTCCTTGATATTGAGCGACACATCCACCATTGTCTTCAATGAGTTACAATCTCACAACAGACCCAGTTGAACTTCACTGGTCACTGCTTCTCACTAGAACTCGAGGAAATATCAGTTAGGGGTTGTGTGGATATGATAGTAATTTGATAGTTGAGATCACGAGTCATTTCACACTAGAGATTATATATTTATTCTTAAATGACTAATCTATTATGTAATATTCTAGTTTATTTTGAAAGGTTTCCATTGGTTAATAACTTGTTAATCTTTCTTGCTTGTTCTTCACCGTTCTCATATTCACTTCCTTGGATACAACAAAGAATTTTCAAGAAATAACATTCAATATACGTTTTATAACTTCCAATTATTTAAACAAATTTACAAACAAAAAAACGTTTTCTTCAATAGTTATTAGTGATCATTCAGTTTCAGTAACATAAGTTTAAGACACCGGTAAAATGTTAAACTGACTTTAAAAGTATCCGCCTAGTTACTATGATTAAATAAGGGTTATATATTAGTGTGAGGAATTCGAATTATGATTTACGTTTGCTAGTTAGGTTTAGAAATTAGATTTAATGTCAATAGTTAAGATCATGAGTCAATTGAAGTTAGATCACCATGGAAAACCTGATAGAAATGGATGGCCATTTCGTCCTATTGTAGAACTTCTCAACAATGTGCATCCACAACCCCGCCTCGTAGGATCACGAAATGATATAATCTAAAAATGTTAAAACTCTATTTAAATAGATGAGTAAATGAATTTCGCGCCGAAAACCAAGATCTACTATCTTAAAATGTGATGGATCAATTGAAGTTAGACCACCATAAAAACTTAGAAGCACTGGACTGCCGTTTTGTCCTAGTATAAGACACTTCAGCAGTGTTCATTCGCAACCGCGCTCTCGGGAGTTCAACCAGACCTGTTGTGAGATAATAACTCATTGAAGACAATAATGGACGGTGGCGCAATTTTGTAGATTGGTTGAAGTTAGACATTGACACTGTCGGATACCGGCTCAGTGGTCTAGAGATTAAGCGTTCGTTCATGAGTCCAAAGGTCCTAGGTTTGGATGGTCCTACGTGCGGGATCGTGGATGTACATTGCTGAGGAGTCCCACACTAGAACGAAACGATTATCCAGTGCTTCTTCCAGGGTTTTCATGATGATCTAGCTTTAATTAACTTATGAATTCCACTATACATTAATACAAGTACTACTGAATAGGTCATTAGATTGTTTAGTGATTACTATATCATATCAATTATTACATGAATTAATATAATCCTATATGTATATATATTGCTAAGTTAACTTCAATTTGATTGACATTAGACATTAGTTACTATACTGAATATAGAATGTCAATACCAAAAAAAAAGAAAAACAAACAACAACAAAAAATACACAAATAAAATAAACAATTTTTGGCGGGAAAAGTGAAATGTTTGTTTTTCTATTTACAATTTAAAGTAGTTTCAGCTGTATTGAATAAACAAAACAATAATCATAATAATAATAACACAACTGTTTATTGTTTATTATCAGAAGGGGTTTTTGTAGAGATTATAGTAATATTAATAGTTGAATTCATGAGTCAATTGAAGTTAAACCGTCATGGAAAACATGGAAGCACTGGACGACTTCGAATCTCGTGAACCGAGATTGTGAATGCACACTGCTGAGGAGTCCTACAGTAGGATGAAACGGCTGTCCAGTGCTTTCAGGTTTTTCATGGTTGTCTAACTTCAATTTACTCTATGAGTCAACTATTAAAATTGTTTATTACTTATTCCCTAAACATGGAATAATATCAAAAGCTATTAGGTTTACCTCCTTTGAAATTGTTGTAAACTGTCCAGTTTTTTCTAATCAATCTAACGGATTGTAGTTGAACAAGAACATAAGTGGGTAAATTCGAATGTATTTCAATATAAAATTACAGAATATCTTGGTAAAATCTGAGATCCATACAGCAAGTACTTCATTTACAGTAGGTCAATCAATTGTCTTAGACTTCACTGTCCCTTCATTTCCACAGAAATCATTTTCTGTTCTGGTTCACTTTTCTTCTATCTTTTTAACCTTCTGCTACCGACGAGCATTTCACTTTCGATTTGTGTTACATATACTACTTATATCTATCGACATCAGTAGCACACAGCATAGAATAATCGATAAATTCAAAAGAAAATTGTTTTTTAAAACAAACAATCTATATACATTTGATGAAGATAAACAATTATGTTTGTCTAGGAGTTAAATAAGTATAGATTGATAAATAATGGCATATTGATATAAATGTCAATGGGAAAATGTCCTCTTTTCTTCTGTCAGTTAAAATAAGGTGAATCATTAAATTCTAAGTTTTAAAGTAGACAGAATTATAGTTTTTGATCTAAGTTAGACTACTTTTGAAAATCTAGAATCACTGGGCAGGTTTTTTACCTTAGTATGAGGTTCGTCAACAAAGTGCATTGACGATCTCATATGAAGGATTCAAACCCAATCTCCACAAATCTTTATATCGATAAATTCTGATACTAATCAACATATGCTCACTAGTGACTGGCTTCAAGAGATATTTCCTCGAGTTCTGGTGAGAAGCAGTGACCAGTGAAGTTCAACTGGGTCTGTTGTGAGATTGTAACTCACTGATGGCAATGGTAGATGTGTCGCTCAATTTCGTGGATTAGTTGAAGTTAGAAATTAACACCATTGGATGCAGGTTCAGTGGTCTAGTGGTTAAGTATTTGCGCGCAAGACTGACAGGTCCTGGGTTCGAATCCCGCGAGGCGGGATCGTGGATGCGCACCACCGAGGAGTCCCACAACAGGACGAAACGACTGTCCAGTGCTTCCAGGTTTCCCATGGTTGTCTAGCTTCAATTGTCTCATGATCTCAACTGTTGAAATTATTTATATTTCATGGATGGCTAAAGTTGGTGACATTCAACTAAAAATTTACATTTACAAAGTGTTTGTCTACAGAGTTGAAATCGATGAAACAATGATTCAGTTATATCATAAGCTTCTCTCATATACTTACAAAACTTGCTAATTAGATAACTTGGAATATAACATGGCGTTTAATAGTTATTCAAATTCATAGGTAATTATTAACTATTCAAAGATGTTTCTTTAAAACATTGCTCTCATCTATTACAAACTGAGATTTTGTTTACTAAATTGATTAGGAAGAGTGTGACATGAATCCAATTACTGTGTAGTTTGATACACATTATCAACTGACGTAAGATTACTGCGTTCATGTCCTGAAATGAATATCATCTCTGTGATGCAGGTAAATCGAGATGACGAGTCAAAAATAGGATAAAACGCGGGTCAAACTGAATTCCACTGCTATTCATTATCCATCTTTGCTTAAAAAGCTTGTGACTTATGGTTATATTAAGGCAGTCCGTACAGGATACATGTATGTCAGTTAGAGACTGATCAACTGCAGTCCTAAATAACAATGGGAAGATACAAGTAAAACAACAGCAAGTGAATAATGTAAGATGAGGTTAGAAGAATAAGATGTACTGAACGAGAAAATCAGTGGGGACAACGGAATGCGTCTGAATACAGAATTAAAAAATATCTTAGTAAAATCTGAGAATGATACAGTAAATACTTCATTTGCAATATGTCATTCAAGTGTCACAAACTTGACTGTTCCTTTTACAAATATCAGTCAATCGTCTCAAACTTCAATGTCCTTGCATTTCTATACCAACTGATTTCAGTTCCGTTCTTTCCTCCTCAATCTTCTTGACCTCCTACTGCCAGACATTATGTCCCTGACTATCGTTATATACTACTTATGTCGATATAAGTAGCTCATACCACAATAAGTCATCATGAACTTACTGATTATCAGGACATATATTAACAACCTAATTAAAGTAATTTTCATAATCGATTACTGAAAGTTCAATGTGACAAAGATCAATATCATATACATTAGAAAAGATCAACTCATTGTTTGTGTTTATACTGAACTCTGAATTTCTAAATTGTTCTATACTTTCATCGAGTTATTTTGTTTCATCCTTTTTAACCAGATGTTCTATCAGCATAAGGGTTGTGGAGATTACTAACTTATTGATTAAGATCATGAACCAATTGATGTTAGACCACCACTGAAAACCTGGAAGTACTGGATGTCCGTTTCGTCCTATTGTGGGACTCCTCAGCAGTGATCTCAACCAAAAACTTAATGATCTCCACAACCCCTGTACTGGTATTTAACATGTGCTCACTAGTGACCAGCTTCGTTAGGGAATTCTCGGAGTTCTAGTGAGAAGCCGTGACCAATGAAGCTAATCTGTGTCTGGTAGAGACAGGTATCTACCTCAGTACAATGGAAGATGGTCGCGCAATTCCGTGGATTGGTTGATATTAGACACTAACACCATTGGATGCCGGCTCAGTGGTCCAGTATGTTAGGCATTCGCACTCGAGATCGTGGATGCGCACTGCTGAGGAGTCCCACAATAGGACGAAACGGCCGTCCAGTGCTTCCAGGTTTACAACGGTTGTCTAACATCAATCGGTTCGTGATCTCAATCAGATGTTCTATGTTTGATCTGTTTTATTGTCATTCATATCATCATTATTTCGACTGTATTAGTGTTCATTATAGTATTCACATCCATTACTGCTCTGAGGTGGTTTAACAACTCTAGCTGAGATACATTCATACCACATTTATGGTATAGACAGTACTGTGCATAACCATACAAATATTTTTGTATTGAAATGACATTTCGAATAACTGATACGAATTCATATTTCTCAGAGTTAGATTAACTTAATAACAAATAATATTTCCAAATCGATGGAATGTGGCTAACAATGGAATTCAGAACACGTATTTCGTCTAATCAGGTATTGGTCAGCTAGATATACCTGCATCCTAGAGTTGATATTCACTTCGGAATTTGAACTCAAATGCCATCGAGTAAAAGTACCTTTTAAGCTTATCCTTAGTTTGTATTTGAATTACAAGGTGTTTTGACAATATAACACATTTTTCATGGAAAATCAGTTAACATGATCTGATTCTCCATCAGTCCTGAGATGAATTTAGCTTTGAACTTATGTAAGATACCTATTCTATTTAAATTTACAATGAACAGTCATATTAATTTATATAATTAAGCCATTCTTATACATACAACGATTCACAAATGACTTATAATTTATTCTTGGTGTTTAGAATCAAATTAGAAGACTGACAACATCAGTATTTATTACTAACTCATGAGGTTTCACTTCATAGGACATTTTATAATAAATTTGTTGTTTTACTTACGCATGTTACTCCCAATGGAACGTAAGCCACCGACCATCATTCTCTAACCCACTCTGTTCTGGATATTCCTTTCTAGTTCTATCCAATTGTTGTTCGTTCTTCTCATATCTGTCGCTATTTCTCGGCGTAATGTTTTTTTTGGTCTTCCTCTTTTCCTATGGCTTTGAGGATTCCAAGTGAGGGCTTGCTTTGTGACGCAGTTGTGTGACCTATCCAATTTCAGTGTTGTTTCTTGATTTCTTGTCTTAACTCACTCTTATCAACTGTATATAGTGTCTGTTGATGATTTTAGTCTAGATCTCATCTAGTGACATAGAACGACACGATAATCTAATGTCAGTCAGTCAGCTACAACGTAGGACCAGGCACATATGTGCATCGGTCCAGGTTGCCATACCTCATTAGCACAGCAAGATGAACAGCGGATTCATAGGAGTGGTTAGGTCAAAGGTTGCAATAAGGATATAGTATAGGAAGAAAGAATTAGTTCGTAGAAAGAAAGATATGAAGTGATTTTAGTCTCTTAGTTTAAGGGAAGACAGGGAGTGTATACACCGACGCCATTAAAACAGAACGAACTGCCGCGCAGTATACTCGCCCTTTTATTGATAGACGGATATCTCGCCTTCGCCAAAGGTGACGTAAGTTCGCAAAAGCCAAACGAGCTTTTCGAATCCGTTCTGAGATTTCGTCAGACACCAACCCATTAGGGTTGATCAGACTTCCAAGATAAGTACATTTTATTATATGTGAAAAATGTATCCTCATTGTTTCATATAATTACAGTGTACTTTTTAAAATTCTCTTTGCTTAACATATAGCTTTCAACACAACATTAATTGCATGGGATGTAGATAATGCAACAGTATGTAAGAATAATGGACATACAACTAAGAAGAGTAAACGTAAGTTATTAAACTATTTTTGACCTGTATTTTATTTATATTACACAATCGATCAATATTCTTTGTTGATAGAGAAAACAATCAGGAAAACACTGAACAATTTTTTGTGCCTTAGAAACAGTTTGTTATACAGATTAAAATCAGTTGAAGGAACTCTGTAATCAGTGGATAGTTATTGTATCATAATATAGGACTTTTCAATCCTTCCGATCTACAATCCTTCCACCAGTTGAACCTATCTCTTTTATGTCTTGTTAAGAGAGAGCATTATTCGAAGGACATTAATTCGGCATCGAAATGTTCGTATATCTAGAATCAAACAATTTAACGTATTCTGTGTAAGTATTATTTATTCCACTTTGATCAAGAAAGTAGAAACCATCACCAGTTATTGTTTCTCACAAACATTTCAGGAATCCTTTCTAAATTTATGTTCTAGAAAGCAAACAGCTCGATTATAAAATTCAAGCTCTGTTATCAGACTGCTAATCAGTGAACAATGAAGCCAATCTATGACTCTTGGTGGGAATGTACACTTACAACTTTAAACAATATTGATCCCGTTTATCTTGAATGTCTAAATAGACTTTGATTACTGTATTTTGGTTCAATTATCAACTTATAATTTAATTCATTTTGTGTTGGTTGTTTGAATCTTGTTTCAAATTGATCAGTCTCTTACTGACATGTTCACCTTGTTCGGGGTCCCTCGATATCACCTTATGTTACAACATTATAAGTGCAGACGATGGTGGTTAGTATTTGACATGAGTTTCGTCCCATTTGAGATTCGTCAGCCGAATGTACTTGCGTCGAACTTTACCACGTTGCACAAGCTAGTGGCTATATGGGCTAAGTAGCTAAGTAAATAATGCGATTTATTTTAAAGCGAACGGCACTGCGTTTGAGTCATATAGTGAAGACAAACTGTAAGATACAGATGACTAGTCCGAAATAGGACGAAACGTGCATTCGGATTCCATTTCTAGCCAACATTATCTCCCCTTATAACTGTTTTGATACGGCTAAGGATGGGGAGTGTCCGCTCTCCCTTCAGAAATGCTCTCACATGGCCACGCTAATACAGCCACTGTCAGGAAAGTCCTACTCACTGCCTCCTCACGGTGGCGGCGGTGTTGTCTACGAAGTTTACAGGACGAAAACGAATGTCCGGAACTTTAACCGGGTTGGTGTACACGAAGGGTCAACGTAGTGAAGATGAAAAACCATGATTCCAAACTAATAGTGTACATGGGCTCCAAAATCCTGAGAGAACGAATGGCGATTGAACATGCTATTGGTCATTGGAAACTATGGGACTGAATCTCCTTACGTTGTCCCACTACCTTGTTGATCATACTTTTAGGTTAAAGGATTTGGTTGTGACCCCGTAAGGAAACCACCTTCTTTGGTTTGGGCAACTGGTCAGTATCACAGCCTACACACAAATCAAGTGACCTTTCATAATCCTATCCTCCTTACCTGTACTTATTAGTCATAAATTCAATTTATAAGATTCTTTAGTATCATTTAATATTGTCCATTGAATGGTAGAGTATAAATACGAGAGATGAATACAAAAACTAAAAACTAATTTGGCAAGTGAAACGTTTGTTGTTGTTGTTGTTGTTGTTGTTGATCAAAATGAATAGAATAAACTGAAATGTCAAATTATTTATAATTATGCATGTACATATGTTTGTATGTATATGCCTTTAATACACTTTGTCTGTTTGAACATTTTTATAGTGTACAGTGATTCAGACAGTAATAGGAAACAATAAGAATGTTGTTTTCATTGAATAGTAGTGTTAATACATCAATCAATAAACCATAACATAACTAATTGCTTAGTGTAATATCAGAGCAACGTCCGAAATCTGATATTGATATATGGTATGCTACGCGCTAATGAACCAAATTACTACTTAAGCAAGAACATAAGAATGGAGGAGAAAATGTATTGGGCTGCTGAATGAAATTAACACATACTGATTTATATATATATATACCACACAATCCTTTGAAAATTGACTCACAGACCCTCATCAAATGCACTTGACCTTGAGGTCACTTCTGTCTGTTATCAACTGACCTTTTGCTACTTTTATGTGAAAATTATACTTGACTAATCTTTAAACATTGAAATTTTCATAACGACCAATTGTCCTGAAGTGACTTCATTTATTCCTTCTGAACTAAATTAGGTTAAACTTTTCTTTACAGTCAATGTCGCTTGTTATATTCCAAAATTCTTAATCCTTTCACTTACTGAGTTGATTGGTAAGACTATAATTTATGAACGACATTTGAGCAATACTGGGGTGACCTTGAGAGCATTCACCTAATAACTAGAACTAAATGAGGATTATAAACCAGTATGGAGAATTAGAATTATGATTTACAGTTGATGTTTAAGGTTAGGAATTAGATTTAAGGTTTTCATCACGAACTGACATCAGCTATAATGCTGAAACTCTATTTAGCCAAATGGATGAGTGAATTTCGTGCCGAAATCCAAGACCTCATATCTTATAACTGATTGGTTCGTTCATAAATTATAGTCTTGCCAGTTGACTTATTGTGTTGATTCCACACTGAAATAATCAATAATGTAGTTAAATTCTTTTCATAGGATCTCTTCATGAATGTCTAGTGTATTGTATTTTCATATATATATATTTCATTGGACTCCTCAGCGGTGCGCATCCACGATCCCGCCTCGCGAGATTCGAACCTAGGATCTATCACTCCGGCGTGCGAGCGCTTAACCACTAGTCCTCTGAGTCGGCTTTCAACGGTGTCAATGTCTAACCTCAGCCAATATATATATATATATATATATATATATATATATATATATATAAGTTTCCAGAACTCACTTGGAAATGGACCTAATTTTGTAATTTTATGTAGAAAATTTGAATTTCTTTGTTTTCGCGCCAAAAGCGCTCATTTCACCTTCATGTCGTATTTCCCATTTGGGAGAATCTTAAACGCTATTGGTCCATTGTGTCTTTTAGTATGCTTCACAAGGACGGTTTTGTGCTGTATATATACGTTTTGATTTTTGTCTCTTGTTATCGCTCGTGCTTCTGGCTTTTTGCAGAATTTACTTCCTCGCTCGGACTTCGACTTCACTCTCTAGTTAGCGCGGCTGGGACGCAATAGAATAGCTAGTTTATTGGTCTTTGGTCATAAGTCTTTGTTCCGTTCGCGGTCTAAGTGAACTCGTAACCGCTTCAAACCTAGCATCGTTAGTATAAGATTTAGCTTCATAGTGAGTTATTCCCTGAACAAAAATTAGATCTAACAATTAATCACTGTTGAGAAAATCGTTTTTATATCCTTTCATGATCATTTATGTTCACTATTTATTGTAGAACCAACACGTAATCCAATCGCCTTAACTGGTGATCTTGGTGATGAAGTTGATAGATTGCGTACAACCAATGGTTCACGTAGTGGAACTCCTCGAGAACATAAGTTTTGTTTATATTTACTGAAAGGGAAAAAGTGTTTAAAGTCATAATAATTAATAGTAATTCCTATCAAAATGCATATAATTATCATTACTGTTCTTATGAAAAAAGGAGCATTAAACACTACCCAATTGAATGTCACAAAAATTATGTCAAATAGTTAATGAATCTGTAAAGTGTAACACTTGAAAAATAGTGTAATGTACAATGACTAAATAAAACTGTAAGTAAGCAAGGATGGATAGTGGCTAACAGTGCAATTCAGGACGTAGGTTTCGTCCTAATTGAGACTCATCAGCTAGAAGTATCTGCATCCAAGAATTGATGTTCACTCAGAGATTCCATCCAACTTTGTTTATAAGGCTTGTAACTGAAAGTAATCCAAAAAGAATGGAAAAGAATGCCAACAAGAAACTGTTCATTTGCTGTTTTAAACCAATAATAATGCGATGATACAAGCAAACAATGATAAGTGAATTTAAACTTCACCCTATTTCACAAGCTAGTGACTATCAGGAACCAGTCGATAAGTTGATAACGCGATGGTATTTGGAGTGAACGGTTCCAGTTCGACTCCCGGAGTGAACATCAACTCTGGGATGCAGGTACATCCAGCTGACTAGTCCCAAATAAGACGAAACGCGCATCAAACTGGATTCCACTGCTAGCCACTATCCATCGTTGCTTATAAAGCTTGTGACTTAAAGCAGTATCGAGGCAGTCCGCACAAGATGAACATATGTCAACAAGAGAGTGATCAATTACAGTCCTAAATGACAATTCGAAAATATAAGCAAACAATACCATGTGAATACAACAGTAAATAGTTACTTGAGTTTTTCCGGAAAAACTTGAAGTTTTCCCCCTTCCTAAATACATGGTGGCTTTATCTCAAATTATTATCCAATGGAATATCTGTCATTTATATTTTCGAAAAGATTTTAGTCTGGTCATGGATTTAAAGAAAAACATGGCTTTACTTAATTTAGTACAATATGCTTATATCCTAGAATACACTGCTCTGTTCAATAAATATGTGCACTAAAGCCATAATATAGTTATACTGTATAAACTCTCACTAACATAAGTCGTTGTTTCCTTGCATATTACTTCTCATTTGTTACAATACATTTGTTCTATCTTGTTTCGACTGTAATCGGACATTTTGAGGAGTCCAACTTCTCCATTGTTCTAGCATTGTAACGTCTTTTCTATGGTGACGTTTATCACTGAAATATTTGCTCCGTTTATAAAGAGCACTTTTTCAGTGAGTTAAACAACCGTAAACATTAGATAAAGTTTGTTGAAAATTTCTCTCAAGTATCATTAAAGACATAATGTTCAGTCATCGTTCTATCTGTTCATCAATCTTTTGTTATCGACAGAAGCAAAGAAAATGATTTGGTTTTCACCATTTTAGGATGATAAACAATCTTTAAAGCAGACTATGTACATAGGTCATTAGCTATGTATTTCTCATACTGAAACATTGATAGAGCGAATTCGCTTCATTTTGCC